GTTATTTCCCTTCTTTGTCTTCTACTGCTGCAGTACATTCATAACTTATCTTAAAATATTTGCAGTCTTAACCCTTCATCGCGCAAGGGGTCCGAAAATTTGAAATTCGAACTGAACTCCCTATGGTGGATAGAGTAACTCAATACAAGGTCACTGATCCCATATAAATTGATTTCTGATGGTTAGTTTTCGAGCAATTGCCAATCTCCGAAGACCGAAAATATTAGGCCGCCCCCGACAAAGTGATTAAAAAATTTTATGTTGCAAACTTGCAATTGTTAATAAAACACACCAAAACAATTTTTTAAATTTAATATACAAACAGACAATATAAAAAACATAAATGGAACTTGTATCAAAACATTTTTTAATTGTTACAAAATATAAAAAGGAAGCAAATATCAACAATGCCAAATTGCAAAGTGATGCAAGTTTCAATCCCTATATTCCTGAGATTCATTTGGAAGACCAATGATTCTATATTGCTAATTGGCAAGATGGAAGTCTGTGAAACAATTTCTATCAGTCTTTATGCACAGATTTACTTTGCATTACACTACAGACGAAATGACGATGTTACCGTTTTGTTTCGAGGTGCTGCAATACTTGCAAGTAAACGGCCTTTGCCCTGCCATTGGGAAGTGCATTAGAGTAATGTCTTTCTAACACTGTCATCAGGCATTTCTGTACGTGTTCCCCTCCCAGGTTTCACTATGCCAACACCATTGGAAGTTACATGGTGAATTAGTTGGTGAAGGTCTTGGAGTTGTTCTTAGGCTGCTCCCTCTAGGTTTTGTCCTTTAGACCTTGCAATTTCAGAGATAGAATTCCTGAAATATTCAGTTGCATACACTTTTGCTTTATTGCTCGAGAATCACGGCAATAAAGCAGCCATGCATTCGACAACAGCAAGATCAATAATATAGGCAAATAGCCGCATGTACCAACGTTTTGATTTCATTGGTGTTTTGTAGAGATGCACCAACATGTTGCTTTTGTCAATACCTCCCATGTTTGCATTATAGTTCTTGATGACTGCAGGGCACGATATTTTCTCTTTCCTCTTTGTACCCTTGTTATATCTCTCAACAAGACTCATGGGCTCGACCCCAATATCAGTTGTCACTAAAAGTCACAACTTTGGTGTCCTTCCATCGTACAACAAGGACACCATCATTGTTGTTGAAGCAAAAATTGCCCTGACCACACTGTTTTTTTCCATTTGTTTGATAGGCACCAGATGTGGCTTACCACATCTATTGTCACGTACTGTTCCAGTGTATCTGCAGTTATACTTATCTCTTAGTAGCTTGACCAAAGGCATACTTGAAAAGAAATTGTCAGCATAGTTTTGCTGATGTGTTTGTCTTGTTCATAGTTTGTGCAAGTACCAGAACAATCTTTGTACTTATTGGAAGTTTAGATTCTTCCTGTGGCAGCTGTATGGGATGTGTGTCAAAAGTTGTTGTGCCTTGATACATGAGTATATCATGTATGAGTCCATCTTGACTTGCACGACAAAAAAGTTTGAAACCCCACTTATCTGGTTTTGTTTTGATGTACTGCCTTAGGTTTCCAGCAGTTTTACCCTTGAAACCAACCATGACTTCATCAATAGATTGCTTGGGTGTAGCTGGAATTTTCAAGCAAGCATTAGTTAGTTCAGTGTAAAGAGGCCTTACTTTGTAGAATCTGTCATTATCCTTTTTTGTGTTGTCATTGAAATGAATATGACTTGTAAGGTACCTAAACCTCTTAGACGCCATGCTATCTGCAACCTGTTGGCTCCTAAAAGCAGCTTTCCAATAGTCTTCGAGGGATGGTAGTGAATTAATACCCATGAACAACAAAATACCTATGAACCTCATGATCTCTTCAGAATCTGTTGAAAAGTACTATTTATGTCTTGTTGCCTTGTATACAAATTTGTTTGATATGCTATGTTATCTATCATGGCTGGAGTAACGAACATACGAAAATACTCATATGGAGACCTAATTGCAAGAGGCTTTTCATGTTCATATGCCGGCAAAGGATCATTTTCAATGTCATCTACGGTCCACTCAGATGAAACTTGAAGAGCAATATTCTCATGGATCTCTTCCTCATCCGGGTATTCCTCAATCCTAAAAGTTTTCTTTTTCCTCATTACTTTCTGCTTTTTGGCTGGCCTTTCTTCCCTTTCTTCCTCCTCATCATCACTTGACATCTCTGCATCCTGTGCATCCGGTGGCAAGTATTCATCACCACTATCCAGCAATTCTGGTTCGTCTACCTCTGGTTCCGAGTCACTGTCTTCAGAAATGCAGACATACCTCGACCTGCTGGTCGACTGCTCCCATAAAACAGCCTCTCATGGAACTGGAAGGACAATAGAAACCTCCTGTATAAATCCAGACCACTACAGAGTTCATATATGCAATTGAAAATTTTTTATAAATATTTATTTGACTAAAATTGGACATCCCGGAAACTCGCGCAATACCGAAATAATTCGACTAAAATGCTTGCACTTTTTTCAACTGCATGCTACACTCATATTATGCTTCACACGGACTTTAGGTATATATCAAAATATGCCTAAACTATTCATGTAAGCACTAAACACAACAATCAGTACTTACCGACATTGTAGAATGTATAATCCAAGAGTAGATTAGCAAGGGTGGAGGGAAAAATGCGCGTGTGTTCGAAGCCAAGCCGCTAGTGTTTATATTTTGATCTCTCAACCAATGGGAAGGCGGCAGAAGCGAACTGTACTTAGCTGACGAGACTCAGGGAAGGCTTGTGATTGGTTGGAACTAAAGAACGGGAAGCTGGCCGCGCGGGGCGCGAAGTATGACACGCGCCAAAAACACGTAATTAATACCGAATTTTCCCGGCCAAGCACGATAAAGGGTTAATGTAATTTAGCTTCACTTTGACTGAAAACCCAAGGATTCCCTGAAAGAATAACACAGTTTGTTTGCATATTCTTCAAGGACTAATGGTGGGAGGAAAAAAGAGGTGTATGTACATGAATATTGTGTGTATGTTGTATGATTGTTTAGAGAATGGAAGAGTAGGAAAGGAAATTATTAATATGCTTTTGTTGATTTTTTTTTCTTTTTAATTTTTGCAACATTGTTTTCAGCATGCTTTAATTCTGATACTTCTATTTGTATCATCATTTACATTGTAGAGCATTATTTTTTATTTATACTATTACTGTATTATAAGCATGATATTTTGAATGCCTAAAAAATTATGATTTATTTTGCTCCACTCTTATTTAACAGTTTTCATCGATGAACTGAACAAGTATTAATGACATCTTGTAGATACAGGCTAGTTGTAGTTGGTAAGTTGCATTTGATATTTTATTTTCTTAGATATTGCAACTAAATGTGGTTATTACCACACTGTATCGGCAAGGTCTTTTGCCAAATATAACGTCTCCTTAAAACGATGCAGTTATAAGTAATGCATAAGTATAGTCTGCCTAATGACAAAGATGAGAGCCACAAAACAGCAATTAAGAGAATTTACATTTTCCTAATCCTGTTTTCACATTTTTTTTTCTTTTTACGATTTAAAAGAGTTTGCTTGTCTAAGTACAGTAAAAACAAAGAAAAATGAAATTGGATGAAAACTTACCAATTTATGGAGAATTGAAGTTGGCAAAAAGTGGTTAATCAATAGCAACATCAGTATAAATGTGCAAAACAGTATTTATTTGTTTTCATACTTATGATAATTTAAAAAAAAAAAATCAAGTGTAACTGTAATTGCCCTAAAAAAATGGCAATAAGCTACTTTGTTTGACTTTCTTGGGTTATCCTAGGTGAAAAAAAAAGAAACATACCTTGTAATGTACTTATGTGCCCATAACATGTATACTCTCAAAAACACTATGTATGTACTGTACAAGGAAATCATATAATATTACAACAGATTCAATGTGTGATACCCTGTACAATGTGTAAATAAGTCACATTGTTCAACTTTCTTGGGTTATCCTGGGTTGAAAACATGTACACTATAAATACTTTTTGTGCCTCCTTAAGACCGTTGTAAAATATATAGTGGTACCTTCGACTTACGAGTTTAATTCGTTCCATGACCAAGCTTGTTCTCCAGTTGGTTTGCGGAATATTGGAAATATTCCAAATATTTTGGGATTTGTGTGGGAGTAAATTGCAAGATATTTTGCAAATGTCAAAAACTTAGCACCTTTATTTTTTTTTTGTTGAATAACTAAAGATAATTACACGATTATTTCCAGTGAGAACATCGCACTAGCATTGTTTTATAAGTGCCAGGTCCTAAAACTGCCTTTCATTGTGCCATTTAGGCTGGGGTTCTTGCCAAATGTTATTTTCAGTGAATATTTTTTTTTCATTTGTTTTATGGCAAAATAACTGCTCGCTCATAACTCGGATTTTGGCTCACAACTCAAAGCAAAAAATTGACCAAGCGATGGCTCGTAACTTGGAAAACTCGTAAGTTGGGGCACTCATAAGCCAAGGTACCACTGTATATGTATTCTATGTACACAAGTCTAAATAAAGACAAACTTATTTAAGTACATAGATTCAGAGCAGCATGTCACACACACGTTGTTGATGTGTCTTGCTAAGTCAGTCTTACCTATGAAGCACAGTGTGAAGCTGCCTGATGCTATGTTTTTTCTAGGCCAAGGGGAGGGCACCTCCAATTCTTTGGATTAAGAGCAACATAAAATTATGTTTGCCAGTTTTGTAAGAATTATGTCTACCGGTAATTCACAATAGAATATTAATTGCTTTATGTTCTCTGTAATGTCTTAGCACTAAAATGTACTAATAATATATGCAGTATCTTATAGTTTAATAATTAATTGTTTATAGTTAATAAATACTTCATTTGAACATTTAATCAGTTACTAACTCGAGTAAATTTCAGAGGCTTGCATCAATATCTCCATTAAAATAAGCTTACACACAACTAACATTACTAACCCATGCAACCCCATGGAACAGTGCAAGGAAACGACCTGTTCCTTACCACCGACCAACGCCGCCTCCCTCACCATCATCCTCAGAGTCATCTTGGTGGTCGCACAGTCGTAGTCGCAGTCGAACTCGTAGCAGATCGTGGAGTCGTACTCGTTCTCCCTCCTACAGTAGGTAATCATCTAGGAAACCATATTTGCTCGATTGTAGAAAAATAAAATATAAACGTACTGGAGGTTAGATTTTATGTACAGTAACGGACGCACAGTATATTTTTATAATATGCTGCCTCCCCTTCTTTTCATAAAAATGTAAACTGTTATTCTGTAGCTTTAAAAATTTAAATGAAAATTATTCTGAACCATGAGAGTAAATCTATTTATTGGTATATTAGATTTTCTATTCATATGAGAATATTGTTCAGTCAGTTTGATCAAGAAACCTGTTCAGGCAAGCAAATGTAAACAAGCATTCATTATAAAAAATACATTATGTAGAAAAAAATCCTGATTTTATGTATAATAATTTAATAATCTCGAGAGAATATGGTTCATAGATTTATAAAACAGATACTGTACCAGGAAGCATAACACAATGCTGCATTACCTTCTGGAGGAGAGAAAATATAATATCTCTGGATATCCTCTGCTTTTGTGTGAAGATGTTTCCTTTTTCCTGTTTGCATAGGTTAGCTTTTTGTCACTTCGGAATTGCATTACAGCCAGCCTTACTTGCCTTAGAGACTACAAGTAATTGGATTTTATGCACTTGAAGGCTTTTATTTTAAAGACTCAATAGAATACAGTTCCAGAATATATGTAAAGTAAAATACTCATGTATTTTAATATTTGCAAAATGAGAATGAATGAGCGAGTTGTAGGGTATTAAAATTCTGACTTGCCACAGTTATGCATTAAAATCATTTAGTTACAGCATATAATGTTAATGTTTCAATTGCTGCAAAGCTGTAACTTATTTGTACATCAATACTGTAATTGCATTTCTTTGAGAAATGGGACATTCATTAATGTTTCATTTCTGGCAAAAAAAAAAAAAAAAAAATGTATCAGCTGAAGTTATTTTGTTGGCTTTTTTTTTTATATATTTTACTCCTGTAATGGCAGCTGGAAATTGGAAAACATTAATGAAGGCTAATTTTCAATTTGTCTTGTATCATATATGTAATTGGAAAATGTAAATCATGTATATTTGTACCTGGGTAGTCAGCTTTTGTATGGGATTATTTTTTTTTTTTTTTGTTATTTTATATATGCTCCTTACAACGATATTGATTGGTGGGTAATCAGATCCACCAATATTCATATATAAAATATTAAATAACGCTTGGTGTGTCCAGCATGAAACATTGAAGTGATAAACTTACTAAGGTTATGTTCTAGTCAGTATAGAAACATGAGTGCTAGTGCCAGTCAGCTAGGCATCAGTAAATTAGTAACATTTAAGGTAGCCATGAAATATTGCTCAATGCAATTGATGCATGCCATGCAAACCTTAAAGTCTGAGATGATAATGTATGGCTGTGTAGAGGATAATGTACAGTTGCATATGTTGGACACTGAAATGATCAGTATAAGCAAAAAATATTTTAACGACATGGTGATTCATTCAATTAGTAATTTGTCACAAAGGTGTTCTGTTTGGTATTCACATGTGATATCTTAGTAGAGAATCCTGTTGTTCAACTACAAATACTTATCCAAGAATACTCAGCAAACAACTTGGTGCAATATTTGTATAGAATTAGATATTGAGATTTAATAGTTTATATAATAAAAATTAGGCGAGATTCTGCCATCTAGAGTGAGAAACATGATGGCTCATTACCTAAGTTTCTACATCTTCAGATGAAACTGTAAACCAAAGTACCATGTACTTATTGATTATATAATTTATTTAGGTTACTTTATATTTAATATATATTACTATTATTCTTACTGTACTTTAAGATTAGTTATGAGGGCTATTTACAACGTTAATTTATAATCCTATTTCAGGATTATTATGTACAATATGTGCATCATATTCTTTAATTTGAATATACATTATGCCATGAGTTTTTTTTTTTTTAATATCGTAGATGTTCCAGTTGTTTATAGTTTACCTCTGATACAAAAGCATATTTTGTTATGTAGTTAGTACACAAGTAAATAAAGCATTTATGTGGTTTTAAAGCAGTAATTTGTCTAGTCACTGCAAGCTATTTTCACATTATTGAATTATGGAAATAGGAAAAAATCTAACGATGACATTTGTGAAAATTATAATAGCATTACATTTATAGATACAGTATTGTAAATTAAAATTGTAAAAGGAAAAATTTCATTGCTGCTAAACAGCCTGTGACTGTACCTATATACACATCTCAGGCAAGCTGCTCTATACTGTACCAGAAGCTTATTTTGGTCAAGCTGAGCTTTTGTGGAGTGCAGTGGTGTATCTGGCTCATGCAAAAATTTTTATTGCCTAAACTACAAATTATTCTGATAACTTTGAATATACCAGACATAACACTGTCAAATATATAGACAGCTAAAGTATAACTTTAGATCTTGCAATTTATTTTATGTAATTAATGCAAAATTTAAATGTCCAGAATCATCTCTCCCTCTCCTCACAGGACCACTTTTCTGCTATAGTTGACCACTATAAAGGTGTAACAGTATTAGGCTGCTACATCTCTAGCCACTGTTTAGGTTTTCTGGTGATCTATGAATATAGATCACTAACTGGCTTTTACTATATTTATTTTATTTATTTATTTATTTATTTATTAGTATCCCTTTATATGTTTGTAGACTAAGCAGTTTATACAGCACTTCTCAAATGGTTTAAAACATTTTTATACCCTGAGACATTGCAGGTATATTGTCATTACCCTGCTGTTCTTGAATCATTGTAACATCACATACAATTCTGAGCTGGTTTAATTGTAAACCAGTTGTATTGAGGAAAATGCATTTGTTTCTCATCTGGTCCTTGTGGTGTCTCTCCTGAGTAGAATTGTGTGATTTACTTAGTAAATATAAATTACACACATTTTTTGTATTTATTACCTAAGCACTATGAAAATTAGAACTATTATGGATTAGTTATTTCCTTATAGAATTCTTGTAAACTTTAAAATGATAACATGAAGAGAAGTATTTCATACATGCTATACTTTAATTTCAGCTGCCTTTCAGTACAGTGCTCCAATTTAACCCTTTGGGGGTCGACAGGTCCTCTCAGACTTGTTCTCAGGGTCAACCAAATTTCAAAAAAAAAAAAAAAAAAAAAAATATGAAAAGATAGAGAATCTTTTCCTGATCATAATGACACCAAAAGTATGAAATTTGATGAAAAACTTACGGAATTATGCTCTCGCGAAGTTAGCGGTATCGACGATGTTTATGCATCGGCGATTTTGCCCACTTTGAGCCCTATTTTCGGCCAATTCCAGTGTACTAGTCGACAAAAATCATAACTATTTCGCTAGAACTCCATTTTTTCTATCGAATGAGTACAAGAAACCATCCATTTACCGATTTCAACTATCCAATAAAGTGGTCAGAATTTAGCAATTTTGCCAATTTCACACAAATTTCAAAAGATGCCAATTTCTGAATAGGGTCCTAAAATAACAAGTTCTCTGTTCGTTAGTCACATCCCAAGGCCCCTCTTATATTTCTTTGGCTTTGCACTTTGAATTTTTATTCTTACAAAAAAAAAAAAAAGATTTACTGTTATGCAGACTACTGCATTAGTGTAGAAATGGTATAAATAATATCATCACACTTGTGAAAGAATATTAGACTCACCAGTTGATGTGTATTGGACGCTTGGCATGATTTGTTTACTTTTGAACTTTGGTAAAAATCGAACATTTCTGCTACTTTGAGCTCAATTTCAAGGTACTTTTCATTGTAAAACCAGTCAAAATCATCTCAATTTCTGTAATATGTCTTCCATTCTATAAAATGAGACCAAGAAAACTAGAATACAACAATAAATACCATACGAAAATACAGTGCGAAGTCGCTGTTTTAATCCAAAAAAAAGGTCATTTTTTTTCTCTCATTACGCAATGTGTGCTGCAGGATTTTTTTTTATACTGCGCGCACTGACCACATAGACCCATTCTTTCATATGTAGGCCTACCAGCTTTCTCTCACTAGATTTGAGGGCGCTAGAATTTAGGCGTACTAGTACATCAAAAACCCTGGGTCGTAAGACGTACTAGTACGTCCGAAACCCCCAGTTAGTCTGAGGAACTGGACCTGTCGATCTTCTTCTGCCAACCCACCCTAATTACCCCCACTCCTCCTTTCTCCATCCTTCCCCCCTTTCATCCCTCCTGAGGACTATCCCTCAGCATTCCCTCACCCTCTTTTTTTTTTCTCCCTTTTTTAAATAAGAAAAAGGGCAAAACATCATGGAGACCCATACCCATAAGTTGCCTCCTCCTGGAGGCAAGTTATGGGTATGGGTCTGACCTCCGCGTGGTTTTGACTATGATCCTGGCTTCTCCACACAGTACGCCGATTTTCAGATCATACAAACAAATCTGGATGGCCCGCCTCTAACCTTCCATCCAAATGACCTCAACCTGTCACTGATGACCCTACCTATTTCCTCTCACGCTTCTAAGAAATGTCCAACTAATCAATTCCTCCCCTTACACACACTGTTTCAAAGTCCTTCTTGGACAAAATTCTTTACTCTCCAACCAACTTCTACTATCTTTCCAACCACAACATCAGCAAGACACTCCTTCACCATGTTGGGCATATAATCACGGGGTAGCACTAAACCCATAGGATTATACAGCACATGGGGAAGATTTAAGGTATTCAGGCTCAATTCAGGGAACTGAAGCACAGATCCAATTCTCTACATCAAGAGCCCCTCACCAGCATCAAGGGGAATGTTGGGCATACATTTCCTTCCATGTTCTTAAGAGTGGCACACGCACTGGCACAGTACAGAATGCAGAGCAGCACATAATTTTTCACTTCTTGATGTTGTTGACAACACACCAGTGATGATTCGCAAGAACATCTCCCTTTATTCTTGCTGTGGATTTATTGTCCTTCCATATACAATTGTACAACACAACTTTCTTGCATGTAATGAAGACATTCTGGAGCAACTCGAGCTCCAGGATCTCCCGATCATTAGAGTTGGCACTGATATACTCTCTGCCAGCGGGCAAGGCTAATTTTTGACAGCCATGAACTGTCACCATCTGTTTATGTAGCAGGACAATGCCTACAAGTGAGGGAGGGGGGGGAGTGATCCCTACCCAACAATGTAGAGAATACTGGTGCTTCAGCCAGCCAGCAAAATATTGCAGGTCAGAGGCAGAATGCCCTGTCTTTGGTGCTGCTGACCATAGCAGTCCATCTTGCCTTAAGTACAAAGAGGCGCACCTGGCCTTGTCTCGCTGTTGCCCGATTTTCTCAAGAGAAAGGGAGATCTGTTGGCTTAACCTTTTACCGGGCAGGCACTTCTCTTAAGCCATGGCAGTTTCCCCAAGTCCACCTCCAAGAAAGACTCCAACAGCTCTCTTATTCCAGGGTCACTAGACAGCCCCAGACCTTGGTGGTGCCTGCTTCCACAACTGCCTCTGTAACCCTTACCTCCACAGTCAACTCAGTGTCCAACCCCTTTTATGGTCCTGGGCTCTGAGGTTCCAACCTCATCATCTCTTATTGTCCCTACTTCTTCACCTTCCCACTCATGTTTCAACGTCTATGCGCCCCCTCCAGTCTATATCGATGCCACATATCCCTTCTCCAAAGTCTACATCATTTACTTCCAAATCTCCTTCAACCCCCAAACCACATGACATTCCCAAACATTATTTACTCCCTATCTCTGAGTCTAGACCTTTACCTCAAGATGCATCTGATACTGTTGTTGAGGTTCATCCACCACTAAGTACAGTTGCTCCCTTGCCTGTCCCTCCAGAAATTTCTGCCTGCGAAGACCCCTCTACCCATTCTTTGGTGTCTTCAGTTGTCTCTCCACTTGCAATCCCCACTAGCATTACTACAAAACATGAGAGTTAGCCTGTCTTTCATAGGCTTGTGTCCTGAGAGTCCCTTTTCCTCCTCAGTAATGTAGGTCCTGTTTGGCATTTTCTTCCAAAACAGGCCTGTTTCATTACAATTGAACACTTGTTGGGGTTTTAATTTTTCAGCCTCTATGTGCCCCTGAAAGTCCTGCACATATTTTTCTGCCACTTTTTTTCTCAGAACTGGCAGCCTCACCATGCCTTATCACAATGTGTATGCCATTACAATTCTTAAATCTCTCAAACCAACCTTTGCTGGCCTTAAATTCACTAACATCATCACTAAGTTCAGGCATTTTCTTCATTAAATCATCATGCAACTGCCTTGCCTTTTCACATATTATTGACTGAGAAACACTGTCTCCTGATAATTGTTTCTCGTTAATCCACACCAACAACAGTCTCTCCACATCTTTGAGTATTTGCGATCTCTGTTTTGTAAGCATACTGCAAACCTTTT